AACTACCTTTGTCTCATGCATAGGTTGATGGTATGGTTGAAGAGTTTGCAGAGATAAATCGGGGAATGGAGAAAACGGGCACTTTCACGATGACCCGGAAAAAGCTGTTTCAGCTTGTTGGGAAGGCCAATTCGAATTTAGCTGATGTCATTCTGAAAGTTGGTCTGTTTGAAAGGTAATTTTTTCAATTTTTCTTTTTTGGAAAACCTTTGATATCCATTACCATTGTTATTATTTATCTTTATACTCTGTGATGCCTTACGCGTGTATTTCTTGTTTTGAAAACATAGAGATTCGCTATAATCTGTTTTCGTAAAAACTTAACACTTAACGCCTTACCCAAAGCTCGCCTGCTTTCCAGCTCTTTAAGTTAGTTGCCATTGGATAGAGTTTTTGCAAAAAAAATTGTCTTGTCCGGAAAATAGAGTTGAGAAAGTATAAAATTTTGATTTGATATTCCGTGCCTTCAGATCGGAAATTGCTTGGAAAGATGCGAAATATGCGCAAATACTCGACTACCTTCGTGAGGAATACGAAGTCACTCAGCGATTTGGAAACCTTGATTTCAAGTTGAAATTTGTCGAGGTATGGCTGCTTTTGAAATTCTGCTTCCAAGGCTATGTTAGGTAAACCTACCAATTTTAGCGGTTTGACCAAATTAAAACAGCTAAAATTTGTGTTTGGTTAGATAGCTTTTAAGGTTGGCGGATTGAATGAAAACGCTCCAATTTGGAGCGTTTTGGAAGATGGATTAGCTTTTCCTATGTAGTGGCTAGTGGGTTAATTGTTTAAGAGAATTATATTATATAAATAATAAAGATGTANAAAAAAATCACACTAAATTGTTAGGAATGCAAATAAGTTACGTTTAATAAAAAAATGTTTGATTAACTAATTTATCATTTTAGAAATTATGTACAGTTATTTATCAAATTTTTTGTTTAATTTTCTATGTATCACAAAATAACTTTATCCTAGATAAATAAAATATTAAATTATACTAATGCACTTCTAAGTAATTATATTCATTCACAAATAATTAAAAAAAACTAATTTTACCAAACACTATTTTTCAACTCGTTAACACAATCAGCTGGTCAAAACAACTAACGCAATCCGCTAACAGCTAACAGCTAACCGCTGATTACCAAACAAGGCCCAAATAACTTATGCAAGAACACATTTTTCTTAGGTTCTGTGATTAATTGTCTTTTAGACCTGAAAATGTTCTGTTGATTTTACTTTCGCAGCATAACATTCATTTTCTTCAAGAAGTGCTACAAAACCGGAAGTCGGATTTGCTCGAATGGTGCATTATAGTCTTGTTGGCCATCGAAAACGTGATTTCCGTGTGTGAGATTGTTCGCGACACTATGGAATCTTCTATCTGAATTTAGATTTATACATACAATTCTTTTGCAGCAGCAAAAGTTGCTGCAGATTTTGTTACAGTTTTTCATTATTTTGTCGAAATAATTTGGTTTGTTCAAAGTTCAAACCACACAATTAGCACACAATTAGCTCAGTTGTAGCCTAAAATTTTTGCCCTTTTTTGTGAACTTTTTTCTTCCCTCGTCTATATTTGTAGTTGATGAATAGGTTGCCCATATAATCATCACCTGCCCAATATTTTTTACTCAAAACTCAAAAGTCAGAAGGACTTTAGATGAATGAAATTTTATCAATCTATTTTAGGGTGAATGAATGTTATGTGACAGATTTTTTATTATGTTAGAATAGGTATGCCACCTTTTATATCTTTTACCATTTTACTATTCACAAAGACAATTGTTATTGACTAATAGTTAAATAATTATTTTTTATAAAAGTATATAATATATATTATGAAATATTTTATTTGTATTTATATAATATTTCAAAGTATGAAATCTTGAATAAGAGTATGTAATTAGTTGGAAGAAAATAAAAAATATATTAAATGTCATAATTTTTGTTTGTACTTATTTTGAAACATGAAATCATAGATTTTGCGATTTTTGAAAGAATGTGACTAAATAACTATTAGCTGCCTAATAGAATTCTCCTTACGAGGACATAAATACTTGTACGGGTTTAGATTGGTGGAATTTTAATACTCTTTAAATAAATACAAAAAAAAAAAATTATACGTATTTTGCCAAATGTCATTTATTTATTATTCTTAAAAGTACAATATTTTTATAATAGTGTATTTATTCAATGTAAAAATTATGTCGGCGGATGTAACAAAAATCGAGGATACTTCATACACCATGGACTCTATTAAGAAAACAATACTAATAATAATAGAAGCATACTTTATCCACCCTGTCATTTAGCCAAAAGAAGGACTCTGCTTCTAATAATAAAAATAACAATAGCTATTGGAAGAAAGACGCAAATAATATTAATTAAAACATTTTACTAGCTCTATTATCTGAATCATTTATTTATATAAAAAAAACAAAAAATCCGTGGACATCCATAAAAAAAAAAAAAACATTCTGGACAAAAATAAAACAGCCGGATTCTCAAAATCCGTTTTTCAAG